TAGTTTGTCTGATTGACCACTAGGTGTCCTACAATTCCCACTTAATCACTTTGTGTGTGAGCACATAGGAATAGGATTAGACTACAGTATTAATATTCAATTCTTTTTTTGTATTCACAATTTGTAAGAGGGTTTTATTTTTCCCCTTGATGCATTAAAATCCCCTGTTATGCATAATATTAGTAATAGTGTTGGAGGCAATTAAGATCACAAGCTAATGTTTGTATGGGCAGTGATTGAGAACATTAGGTCCTGAATTTTACGTTAGGACAGATGAACAGTGGCGGCTTATATATGTAATATGGAGGCGTGAGAGAATTTAATGTAAAGCTGCTTTGAATGATATGTGATATGTATTGTGAGCTTTCTGGCCATCTTGATCAGCACTTGCTGGAGTTATTTTTGTCTCTAGCGGAAGGCATGTTATGCAAGATGTTTGTTCTTCAGACTGTCTGTAGCCTGCTCTGTTTTCGACCTACCCCCCAAATTTTGGTTTACTTGGATGTAAACACTGCCAGCCTTTCCACAGAATCTTGCTACTTCGACTGTCTTGCGGCCCCAAAACAGCTGTAGGTGCCAAGATATGATGGAAATGATCCTGCCCTCTGTTTCAAATATTTATCCTAGTCAGAGTCTTGGGGGTAACGGTAGCCTACAAATAAACTGGAATGTGACAGTTTGGTATACTTGGCGGCACGGTCCACTCAAGGAACTTCTTATTCTACGTGGTAGCTGTGCATTACTGCTGTAATGTGGGACGCCAACAGTCCTGCATTCTCCTTTTCTGAATGGAAAGGGTTGGGTCCCTTTCCCAAGTGATTTAGTGCTGTTTAGTGGAGGCTTGGAATTAAATGGAAGAGGTTAAGCAGAGGAGTCTAAAGGCTCAGGGCAAAAGTAGGACACTAACCCTCTGGTTTTCTTAAATTCAGACCTGTGGACATGGAAGCTGAAAGGAAGCTCCAAGGGCTGAGAGTGGCTGCTTGTAGGTCCAGTAATGTGGTCATTCTGCCCAGGCTCCTCCATCCTTTCTTCATGGACCAAAGTCATCAGCGGGCCAATCACGGGATGCCTGCTAATAGATTAGCATTGGTAGTCTGATAAATGAACTGTTCATGCTTTTTATTTTGATTTTAAGATGCTTTAGTACTGTACATGCTGGGGTATTCATAATATTTGTGTGAAACTGTGGAAGTACAGTTATGTTATTTTTATTACATAGATATTAGCCTACCTTTTCCCTATGCTTCTTAGGGTTGGCTCCAGGCAAATGCTACTAGAGAGCTGTAATGTCTCCTATGTAAGGGTCAATATCCCAACATTTTTACTAGGGGTGTATAGATATATTGTGATGAATCATCAGTGTAGCGATTCTATTGCGTCGATCTGTAGCTAGCATTACTGGTCTGCAAATAATTTTGAGGAATGTATAGTGCTGAGTGTGTAGGGTGGAGGCAAGTCAGGGTTCAAAGTTTTAAAGAGCTGGGAAAACTGTTTTTGTAAAGCATGGGCTTGCTCCAACCTATTAATTTAGGCAATGGGGTTTTGCTTTTGGGAATTCATAGCATTGTACTTGACTGAGTTTCCCTGAGTTTCCCTGTTTCTTTAGGTTTTTCTGAGGCATTAATGGAGTTGAGCCTTTGATGGATAGCCAGTACTCAGTGAGGCAGGGTTTTTCAAATATGAGGCTGTTTGGGTAAATGGGGTTGGAAGATAATGCACAGTAACTCAAATGTTCATATTCAGCTGAAGCATACATTGCAGATCAGTCCCTTCCTTAACATTTGGTCTCCTGGGGCTTTTGCTATGCATGTGTCTTTATTTAATTTCTTTTATGATTATGACCCATAACTTTCCCCGGACCACTTACCCTAGTGTTACTAGACTTAGACCTCATTAGTTAAGTTGGTCTTATACAGAGTAATTGATATTTCTGAAGGTAAACAAATGCAGCCATACATAATTTCAAGCATAGTTTTGCTTTGTTATAAACCAAATATGATTGTTTGTTTATCCTGTCGTTGAGTTTCATTCAACCTGAATGAACTGGGTTTGCCACTGGTCCTATAACTATTTCCCCAATGCCTTTCTAATGTTACGCTATGTGATGCTGTCATTCTTGTGTATGTTTGTTCAAATGTCTTTGAAAAAGCTCATGCCTGATTCTTTTAAAAATCATAACCTTATTACAGTCCATATTGTGGGGGGTAGGTGCTTTTGGCCTTGCATTGGCAATGCGAGCTTGAATAAGTATTGCACGACTGAGCTGAAGCTTCTCATTCCATTATAGGAAGCATGGGATGACTCACACGGTGCGCGTTTCTTCAGAAGACGAATGATGTTAGTTATTAGTGCTAATAAAGCTGTGACAGAAGAAGATAGATCCTCCGATTGCATTTTCCTTGGCATTTCCCAGTTGCCAGCTCAGCAAGTGCTGAATTAAATTGGTCATTTAAAATAGCTTTTGGACTAGTTCCTCTACAGACAACTTCCACCTCACACAAGGCTATTACCCACAGATCAGATTCTGCTGCGCCCCCCCCCCCCACACACACTCAGAGCAGCAGAAAACAAATTTTTACCAATTAATTTATATTAAAAACCTTTCAATAGCACAGGGTATATAGCTGCTGACCAGCCAGCTTGGGTGTGTTTCACAAGAACTGGTGAAATATTTAAACTAGTGTAAATAACTAATGTCACGGAATGCACATTTCTTCTGTTTTTTTTCTCCACTAGCTCTTTTGTGGCTCTTACTTAAATGGGCCGGCCCTGACCTCACCTATCAGGCAGCATTAGGGTGGGGAGTAGGGCTGCCAGAGGGGCATGGATACCATGATGGATTCAGGGGGCTCAGCACTTTGGAGGGGTCCCAAAATCCCCCTACTCTGCAAAATCAGCTGAGCAATTGGGAGTGGCAACCCGAGCAGGGGGCCCAGGATGATACTCTCCTGGTGAGGAGCGAAGGTGAACTGAAGAGCAGGGTTATTACTGTGGATAGACACTGAGAGCCAAAATACCATAACACGATATTTTTGTCATCACTATCCACAATATAAATCACTATATATATATATGCACACACATACAGTGGAGATTAATATTTATCGGTTTGGTCAATAACTGCACTTAACTCAGTTTACAACATATTAAATCATGTATAATTGAAGGCACAACATGTAAGATTTTTATTGTTGCTTCGGTCTGAAGCGTTTGCTTCGGTTTGGTGACTTCAGAACGTGCGGGAGACGTTGAGTCTGAGGACGACGGGCTCGCGCATGTACGCATAGCCGGCCATTCCGCGTGCCTGCGCGTGGACGATGACGTTTTGGGTGGCAAAACGATTAGTTGTGTTGCCACCTGTTGTCCAATCAGTACCTCTGCAAAGTTTGCAAATCACAGTAGATTGGTCCACATCAAATTCCCCACATATAAACCAAATACACAATCAATATGGAAGCTTTTTTTTATATCAGTTCTCCGTTATCAGCCGTGTCGCACACGCCAGATACATGAGAGTTAATTGGCAACCCTGGGTTAGATCTACTGAGACATAATTGTCAAAGAAGTGATTTACGCAGACAGCGATGAGATGTTATGTAGGCTGACATTGTCTTGTTTCACATCGCTCTGTTTTTGTTGTAGTACTGCGCGACCTGCGAACACGCACGCAACGCGTCATAGGCGTTTGCCGGTTTGTTCCGTCGTTCTAGTAAGTGTTAATTAGTGTACTTGTAACAGTGTTATTTGCCTTACTTATACGGCGCTTTGGACAAAAGGACACCTCATAAAATTGGCCATATCTAGACCGATTGCCCGATCTCAGCGAAATCACCATGTGGGGTCACTAGCCGGTCCATCGGTGGCTCCGTAATATTTATGAATACACTGCAGCTGGGATTTGCTAGACATTTTGCCCCTTGTGGTTGCAATGTGCATTACAGCATGTGAAACGGCAGAAGGTGGCAGTCTTCGTACTTCAGTCGCGTTGTAACTGTCCCTGTTTTGTCACAGGTGTATCTAAAAAAAGTTGTAAATTGTTATCTTTGGCCTTTGGGGAGCATCATGGTTAAGACTCTGGGTGGAGGCAACACTGCATATACGAGATGAAAGGCTATTATCAAGACGCCTGTTACAATGAGGTAGTGTCTAGAGGAGAATCCTATCATTATATTCTCTTCTGTAATGAGGCAGAACAAGGCCAAGTGTTGTGTCTAACAAAGACTGTCTTTCAACTTATCAAAAGAGCCGAGTTAATAATTACCTACCATGCAAAACACATAACCAAAGTCTCATTATGAATGGTTATTTGGTAAGTAATATATCAAGTACCTGGTGAGGCACAGTAGCTGGTCAGGCTGTCAGCTATGTATTGATAGTATAGTCACTGTACATTTTAATATCCCAATACTGCTAAACGTTTCCAAAGATCAGTTGGTGACTTGTATTTACAGCAAAATATGTAGCGTTTATGATGTATTGTTTTTCCCAAATATTACGCTGCATGTGGACATAAGGAACCGATTCGTTCATGTAATACAGCAGTTAACTGTGTCTTGATGAGAGTTAAAGTTCCCTTCCTTTAGCTAATGCTGCACACAGAAATGAATATTGTCCACATGGTACTGCTTGCTGAGCTGAAACAGGGAAGCGGGGGGGGGGGGGGGGGTAGAGAGCTGCACCACAGGGGCTGAGGAGTTAATGAGAAGCCGATGTCGGCTCCTGAATCACCACTGGTAAATGTAGATGAGTCGGCCTCAAAGCCGGGCTGCCTTCCCTTGTTAAGGCGAAGGGGGGGGGGGTCAGGGTTTGCTAAGCCAGTGTCTGTCAGTACGCTGAAGATTCTTTTGAAACTAAAAACTTGCACCTCCCCCCCTCCTGCTTTGACAATAGTTTGGCCCTGAAAAAGGAAGAAAAAAGAGGGGGGCGGGGAGCTAGAAAAACTCACTTGGGGGGGAGCTATCTTGCAGCCAGCTGATTGCTGCGTTGGTATTCCGAGCTAGGAGGCTGAGAGGGAGCCGCAGGTACAGATCCCATTCCCAGCTTCTGAAGTGAAGAGGCTGTGAAAATAAGTAACGACCTGCAGCTGGTGGCTCGTTCCAAGACGGGAAGGAGCTGGCAGTGATGAACTGGGTGAACTGAAGGGAGTTTGCACAGAGGAAGTGAGGAGGCAGTCACAGCCGTTGGGCTGGTGGTGTGAAGCCACATCCGTGGCTTGCTCAGAGCGAGACTGAGAGAGAGAGAGAGAGAGAGAGAGGGAAAGAGAGAACGAGGCAAACACACTGCTTTTAAGTCAGTCTCCCTCTCCATCTTGCGGACCGTGTCAAATCCAGCTGAGATCTGGAACGAAGGAAGCTCAGAGAAAGATGTCCTACAGCCCGTGGTCAGTGCTGTCGCCGATTCAATGGGCAAAGTGGACCTGGTCAGCTGTCAGAGGCACAGACGCTGAGGAGGAGCACGACGAGAGCCAGGAGACGGGCTTGAAGGATGACGAGCAACATTCCCAGGATGACAGGTCTATGGGCCACAGGCGAGTTGTTTTCACTGCCGCTGCGGCAAATCTGCAAAGCCTGTTTTGCTGTGTGTGATGGTGGGGGCTGGTTTCTTCACGGCTATGGGACTCCACCTGTTGCTCGGGGCCGGGAACTCGTTAGCTTTGAGGGTGTGTTGAGGGGTGCGGGGCCGACGCTATGTGGCTAAGTCCTGGCGCTCCATGTCTAAATGAGTGGTTCTGTTCTCGCCGGGTGCCTCTCCTGGAATTTGCAGGGCAATAGATGACGTGAGAGATGAGGCCGGTGTGGAGGGTGCCTGAAGTACTGCTCGCCCTGTTGTGGCTGCCTGTGATGATGTTGTTGTGCTGGAGAGCAGCTATGAGAACCTCCGTCATTCAAAACACACAAATTCAGGTCCTACTGAACATCCTCATAAACGTAGGAGGAAATGGGGCTTTGTAAACATTTGCCTTGGGTTGTTTGCCAGCCCAGAAGGGGGAAGGCAGGCTTTCTCTTTGTACTGGTTTCCAAGTGACCCTCGAAGATTGCAAAGTTGTGGACCTGCAGCCTGGCCGCTCGCTGGCACGGTGGGGTACGTCTCTCCAGGGTTAATGACAGGCATAAGGAGCACAGGTTCTGGGATCACCGTCTGTCTCATGGAGAAGTTTGTGGACCTGTGAGTGAGCAGAGGAGAGGAGAGCCCCCCCCCCCCACCCCACCACTTTCTTTTTTTTGGCTCACAGGATGGGTAGGGGGGGGTGCAGCTGAGGCATGCAGACAGAGGCGGTCCTTGTTTCTGGTCTTAGAGCGGGTGCTGTAGCCCAGATGCGGGTAATGCAGGTGGTCTGGCCATCACCGTCCTCTTAGTGCTTTGCCCTGTTTTTGGGTCAGTGCTGACTAAGCATTCCTTTTCTTTACTGTAGCTGCTTTTAACTTTTAATCATGACCGTCAGCTGGAGCAACGTGTCGGCTGGATGTGGGTCTCTAGAATAAGCACAGTTCTGTGCTAAGAGTTGGATCTTCACCTATTTCCTCCTTCCTGGTTAGTTGGCCACAGCTACATCTGGGACTCTGGAACTATTGGCCGAATTAGATGATCTATATGAGCTGGAGAATGTTAATATTTAATCCTTCCTTTCTCATGTAGCTCTGACTCCGAGGGAAACTTTGAGACCCCCGAGGCTGAAACTCCCGTCCATGGGCACCTGAAGGAGCTGTTGGAGCAGGAGAACGTCACTGCAGTCTGCTCAGGTAACGCTGCTGCTCTCCTGCCACCACTCTACTGGTGGCCCTGCCGTCTATAAGCCTATTGAAATACAACCGCCCACGTGTTGCAGTAATCGAAAGCATGACTTTATTCCTTTCAGTCCCCTCCCCCCACACACACACTTCATTCAGTAGCATCATCATGGTTGCCAAGGTAACTGAGCAGTGCTCAGGTTCTCTGTGGATCCAGCTCTAGTTTTTGTTTTGGCTCGGGAAGGTAAAATAAGCTTCCATCTGAAGACTTGCAACAGTAGTTCTCTTGATGAGCAGTTTGGCTTGTTGAATCGTCGTCTGGATGTCTGAACCTTCCTCTGAGCCAAGGTGCATTTTCTTCTTCTCCCGGTGGGGGAGGAACGCTGCAGGACCACACAAGATGCCATTGTGGACTGGCAGGGGAGATGTTCGGTTCTGTCTGTTGCCTCATTACGAAGCTTTCGTTGCTTCAAAGCATTATTTGCTTTAAAGAAATGGACACAAAGTCAGCTGTCAGGATTAGCAGGGATGCTCTGTTTTGCTCTGGGTTATTAAAAACATAGGTTAAATACCTACATTCAATATTTTGGGTATGCTGAGAGAGAACAAGAGTGGTCCATGATTCATACTGCAGCAAAGTGATGTATTTATTTGGGCTGAGTCACTACCAGCTTCACGGACCTTTACAAGCATAAGTTCTGGTCTTGGGTTTGTGTACGTCTGAGCTGTGCACAGTGGTGAAAATCAACTTCTCAGAAATGACCCTGCGGTTCCATTGCTGGCAGGTTTGTCCATTAAAGTTTTACAACAGCACTAAAACCTGCAGCTGCCTACAGTGACTTTATTTCCACATGAAAATAAGTGTTGTCAAAAAATAAATCTAAGTTGACTTCCAATTTATAGTCACGTGTACAGGCTAATAATGTGTTCACATTTTTAATATTTCTTATGGTTGCATTTTTTAAATAGACCTGCCCCCAGCTCAACCCCCCCCCCTTACACAGTTCTGTTTTTTTTATTTATTTCACCTACACACCCCCTGCAATTTCATTGGGGCCCTCCAGGAAGGTGTGCCCCATAGTTTGAATACCTGCAGTAGAAGTAACTATTTCATGGCAGAAGTCTGAGCCACAAACAGCGTTGTGTGTAGTTCAGATGCTGTTATTCTATATTCTGGCATCCAGATGATTGGGTGCTAAAAGGACACTTCCAGTTTCCACCATATTTTCTTCTTTGGTGTCTTCACCGGCCATAAAGCCAAAACAACTGCTTTGGCATACGGCCCAGACTTGCATCCTCCTCATTTATAGGTGACAAATGTTCACCATGAGCTGTTTCTGTTGGTCCATTTTTTGATGTTCTGATTAAAGTGGGAAAGAGTGTCTGAACTTGGTGCCCAGAGGTCAGGAAGTTCTGTAAATGTGGCATGTTCCTAGATGGTTAGAAGGATATCCCAGAAACCTGCATACACACCAGTCCTTCGTGGATAAAATTGGCCACCCCTGCTTTAGACTATGGTGTACCGTGCCCCAAGGAAGAGAAAACCCATCACTTCCAAATTGCTGGGCCCATGTTGTGTAGAATGACCTATGGAGTGAGAGCATGCACAGTAGAGGTCTGTGACACCATGCGTTTGTCTCTGGCTACACGCCGATCCACAGAGAGCTCTTGGCTCAATAGCAGTCTTCTGTTCCATTGTATTTCTGGAGTTCAGGCTCGCGGTTTGGGTTTTTCCCACAACAAAAAAAAGGAGCTGTACAAAAGAGCCTGATTAATCCCTGAGGCGCTGAGTGGACCTACGGCACACATGACTGGACCCCTGAATCCCCCCCCTCCCCTCACACACAGACTATGGCCTAATCACACCCATACTGAATTATGTAAAATAAATCCTGTCTGCTGTGTGATGAATGCCCCTTTGAGATATATCTGTTTCAGGCCTCTTGTGATTTTCAAAATCTATTTTGTTGGTGAGCTATAGAGAGAAGGCCTGTGTTCTCACGCAGAGAGAGACCATCTTTTTTTTTTTTTTGTTCTATAGTGACTCATCACTCAGGCTTGCCTGTGTTTTGATGAAACGGCGAACACTTGTTAGTTAGACATTTCTGGAAAGTAAAACACCCAGTTCTATTCTTGTAGTGGTAGTTAGCTTAAGTAGCATGTTAGCACTAAGTCCACAAACCGGCCGCCCATACGACAGCTGGACTAACCCCCCCGGCTCTGTCATCTTGCGCTTGCACTCTGCACTTGGGGCTCTACAGAGGGAGGCTACGCGGGCACGGCACTGCATAATTAAGCCTTAACTGATAGCCACAAGCCGTGCTCAGAATCGCCCAGGTCAGCTATTTAAATCTATCTAACTAAAGACTGGTGGATGCAGGCTAAGCAAATCTGGCTAGTAAAATGTGTTTATGATTCCTTAATCTTAGGTTTTAAGTTGAATCCAGGTGTCAGGGATGAATAGATTTAATGACGCCCCCCCCCCAAATCCCCATGCCTTTCTTGGTAATGACGCTGTGCTTTTGTTTCTCTCTCTTTCTACAGGAAGATCAGTTATCACTGGGATGGCATCCCCTGAGAGTCATCTCTCAAGTATAGTTTTTTTTTTTCGTTTTTGCGCCAGGCTTGTCTGATTTCTGTGCTTTAGAGCATTGCTGCAGTCTGCCCTGTATAGTGTAGGGAGGCCATATGTCGCATTCATCCTGGACCTTTTTATTGGTGTCTCGTCAGGTTACTTCCTGAGGAAGTCATGGGCTTGGGAGAAGGAACAACTGCGTTGCATGTTCTGATTACAGCCATGTAAACAATGGCCACTTCTCCGAATGGGTGTTGACATGCATTTCACAGTCTCAGCTGCGTGAGCTGGACTGCGATCGCAAAACATGAGCCCTGGTCTGGGAACTGCAGTCCGTCCGATGCCATTTGCTGTTTCTGTCCTGCGGCCTGAATCGCAAAGGCTGCCCCTCGATGGGCTGGCAGCCATTGTAAGAAAGATTTATCTACCCTGAGAGGGATGCCTGCAGGCGGAATGTTGTGGTCTCTGGAGCCTTAACCATAGACGGGTTGCCTCCCAAGTCCAAATGCGTCAGTTTCACATGCAGCCCAGTGAAACCTTCCGGCTGTGGGGAGCGGAATTGGTTCTCACCCAGAATCTCTGAAGAATCATCAGTCTATTTTGATTCAAAAAAATTAACAGTAAACCAGATATTTTCTGGTCTCCTAGCAACCAGCCTTTTCCCTTCTGATGTTCAGTATGACTTCTTACTTAATGGAGGCTGTTTACTGAAAGGCATAGCATTCATCTCTCCTTTTCATCTTGAAGCTTTCTGATACCATGAAATGTAAGCCCCCCAACCCCCTGTAAAAGTTTGGCCAAATTTCAACAAATGTGTTAAAGGTCACAGACTTAATTTCCATTTCTGATGCAAGTGTTGAAGTCCAGATCATTACAAACATGCTTTTAAGGTACTAAAAGCATGTTTGCTTTTAGCAGACACAGTCCCATGAGACTGTTTGTTTATTACTGAAGGTTATGATCGATCTTCCGCCGCTGTCTTGACAGAGTGCAGCAGGCTTCTCCACCCTTCTCATCCTCGCTCTGCCTCCTGCTGTGTGTTCACTCATAAAATAACTTCTCTTGTAAATAGTTTCTCTCTAGCCTCCATTAGTGAAGCAGCTGGTAGCCCTCTGTTAAGTCAAGGACTAACGGGGTGACTCAGCCTCCATGCCTGTGATCAGAAGGTTGCTGGTTCAAGCCCAAGCTTTGGAAAAATAGTCATCTCAATTGGGCCCGTGAGCAAGGCCGTTAAACCCCCCCTCCCCCAGCCAAAATGCTCCAGGGGCACCAGTTAAATGACCGACCCCAAGCTTTGCTATCAACTTTGTTCGTTCGTGAACATATGCTTGTGAATGTGTCTCATGGAGAGCCAGATGGGATTTGTGCAAAGAAACACTCCATTGTACTTGTACAAATGGCAAATTATGGATCATCAGATTTTTCTCTGGTATAGCATATTTTAACAAGGTGCGTAACCAGAATCGCCCCGATAAACATGTATAGATATCTATAGATATAAATATGTTTTAATGAATGCCTTTGGATAAGGCACCGTCTTGCAGAGGCTGAATGTTTGTGAGAGATACCGTGAGCGTGATCATGCCTGCCTTTTGACACGCTGTAGCCCGGCTTCCTCGACCACATAGGAAGTGCCTGATTGATGTCACTGTCGTGCTCAGCCCCTGACCAGACGCACCTGGAGGATGTTGCGGGCCGTGGCGCTGGAGGGTTCCTCCCTCTTGCACTTTGGCCATTGTGCTTGCGGCAGCGTCAGGAGACGAGAGCCATTGTTATCCTGTCAGCCTGCTGCATTTTGACCTCACAATTTCAACAGGCTTCAGATACATGCTCTGGCTGCGCTGTGCTCTTTTACATTAAGCTAATAATGTCTTCGTCCACTTCTGTCATCTGCTTAATTTTGGAAGAAGTTATAGTCTGTGTCTGGTACATCCAAAACTTGACTCTCTCTCTCTCTCTTTATCTTCTGCTAAAAGTGAGAAGTAAAAATGCATAGTCACTGTAACTCGGTCACTGTATTCTGTCCTGTTTAATACGTCCGGTGATGCCTCTCATATGGTTGTCCAATTGGACGACTGCGGCCTTCGGTCCGGGGCTGATGTCATCAGACGGTGCCCAACCCTTACTGGGTGTTTCGACCCTTAACCACAGCACCCTCCAGTTGGCAAGTCGGCAGTAGTGGCCAAATCACTACTCATCAGCTTCAGGCCTCTCGCTTCTATGCCAGAGCCAACCAGAGGCTCATTCTGCTGCCTCCCCAGTCCTGCACTAAATTATACACCTTCCATGTTGACGAGGCATGTTTCTATCATTTGTCTCACCTGTACTGCAAAACAACATTAACTTTGGGGGGGCTGTATTGTGCTAGGAGTTATGTTTTGTTGTTTCTGCACTTCAAATTTCCCCCCCTTGGGGATTCTGGGGAAATTCTTCAATGATTTGCACTGGTTTAGTCGGTTTTCAGTGTAACATGCTTGCTCTCCGTTTTTTAGATCTGCGGGGAGATGATAAACGGCTCTTCTCCAGCCTGGACAACTCATTTCTGGACAAGAACTCCAACCAGAACGAGCTTCCCCTGGCCTCCCAGGCTGTCCACGTTGGCCAGGGCACCCCTGTGCTGACAGAGGTTGTGGATGCTTTAAACAACCTTCAGCTCTCAAAGTGCTCTGTAGATTCCAGTATAATCCAGGGCCAGAACCTCAACCTGCAGACTCGTGGTATTCTCCTGGGTGACAGTCTCGACAACAGGCATACAGATGACCTCCAAGTAGATGCTCATGACACATCACCAAAACAAAGGCCTGCATCTCTTACGATGAAGGTCTCCCTGAATGGGCCAGACCCTAACGAAGTGGATGATGATGTACCTATTTCCAAAGCCTTTGACCTGAATCAGATCAATGGTAACGCCGATCCTCTGGTAAAACCCACCACCGGAGATCATATGCAGGAACTTGGCCCGGAAGACGATGCAAACCCCAAGGAGGTCAGCAAGCCATCCAGCAGGAGTCTGGGAAAGATGCCCGGCAGTCGTCTCGGCCCCAAGAAACTGACGGGCAAATCTGCAGAGCTGGAGCCAGGACCAGTTAGCATTCAAGGCTCAGATGGGATTACCTGTCCTAAAGCCTCATACAACTTTGATGCTGGCCAGTTGGACGACCCCAACTTCAACCCATTTACAAGCAATGCCAAGATGTGCGACTCTCCGTCTCTCCTCAAGGGATCTTACACTTTTGATCCAGACTGTGTAGACCCTAGATCTAGGAGATTGGATGGGGAGGACTTGCTGAGGAGCGCCCCTTCAGCTGAGAAAGTGGCAGATGACCCAGTGTGCCAGAAGCTGAATTTCCTTGTTGATGAGGAGGGGTTGGCAGGGCATCCACAGGGCAAAGCCAGGGAAGTCATGTAAGTGTGTGCGGGTTCTCCAGTGCCAGCTCTCTTGGGTGAATGGTTTTGTTTGCCATGTTATCAGTTGGATGCCATTTTGGATGAATATGTTTGCACCGGCATCCCATGGAGGGTATACCCCAGCCTTCTGCCCTGTGCAGCCTGGGATAGGCTCCAGGCCCCCGTGTGACCCTGTCCAGGATAAGTGGTTAGAAGATAGATCAGTGGATATGCTAATTATAGGCATGGTAATCACAGCTGTTTAAAAAGTGATTCTATTACTAACTTCACAATTGTATAGGATTCTATTACTTTTAAACAATTATGCAAGGTCCCAAAGTGCTTGGCTTTGTCCAGACCTTTCCTAAACATGAATTAATAAATAGGACAGTTGTGCTTTTTGGAGTAACGATGATTATTATTATTATTATTATTTATTATTTTTTATTTTTTGACTGCTACAGTCTGTTAGTCAGTAATTCCTACAGTCTGTCCCTGTTGAATGGCCCCTTGTGATGTTTCGCTATGTGTAGGGTTGTCTAAGGTGGTCTTTTGGTCACTTTTCATCAACATTGCTTTCTAAAGCTCATAATATTCACCTGCTGTTCCTGGTACTGTAGAAATTTTATAAAACATCAATCTTCCAATTATTTCTTTAAATAGACTAAATGAAGCAGACTTGGATCAAGACTTGAATTTTTATGCTTATTTGACATTGCCTTCTCTAGAACCTTGTTCAGCTGATTAATTATGTTTAAATAATTACTCCCCTTTGTGGTCATGTGATTTTTCATTCATACAAATCCTGACGTGTAGCGTGATGTTCGGCCCATTTGAGAGGAAAATGCCTCCAGTTCATTGAGGGATGGAAGAAGTTAGAATTTTACTTTACAATCTCTGCTCCATTATTGGTATTTAGATCTGGTAACCGGTGAATCCATGGAAGAGGTCTGAATTCATCATGGTCGTCATGAAACCTCTTGAATATTTTCAGTGGGGGGATAGTAACATTTTGGAATATGGAAGCAATATCATGAAGCAGTGTCTGTACCATACTCTGCCGCGTACGTATTCCTTGGCCTTTATCAGACTATGCAGAGCAATCAAGTGGCCCTAATGTTTCTCGCAGGATTTTTCCCATACCACACGGTCCACCATGTTCAACAGCTGGCTGTAGGTGTTTGCGGTGTGTGGCTCCGTGGGCTGAGGCTCTGTGCCGGTGATCAGAAGGTCTCCAGTTCGAGTCCCGGCGATGTGGAGAATAGTCACATGCCCATTAGCCAATGAGCAAGGCCTATAACCCCCAGCCGCAGGGGTGCCGCATGTTGGCTGGCAGATCTGACCTGTGCTGTTACCCACAAGCTTGCTTTCGCCTTTGTGTTTTGTGAAGAGTATAGTACACACATAATACTAATTAAGAAAGTAATTTAGTGAACTGGGGGCAGATTTTAAATCCATGTATGTTTTTTTCCTTCCCATTTGTGCACAGTACTGTCTGAGTGACTGATCCTGTTTTAACTGGTACCAGCTTGAGGGTCATTTATCATATTATACAGGTTCCTGGTGTTTTGATGACCACCATTCAGAGCTGACAAGTTCTTATGGTCTAGTGGAAGTTTACTATTATGCACTGTCTGGACAAGCAGGGTCCGATCCTCAAAATTCCTTTAGGTGATCTGTTTTTCCCCCCCCCCCCTTTTTTTTTTTTTTTAAAGGAATGCCAACAAAGGAAAGAATGAACAGCAGCCCCTTGTGGACATTTGCAGTCAGGTATGATGGCAGTTTGAGATGGTATTACTCGATTATCCGCGCATTGTATGTTGGGTTTAATTGTAATTCATGAATATAAATTACTCACTTGCATTTGGGCTGTAAACTAAAAATGTTAGTTGCAGAGTACTTAATTTTTTTTTCTGAACATTCCAAATTGGCTTGTATAGTGCCACCATGTGGACAAATGCAGTGCACACATGGCCTAGGTCCTGTACACTCCTGCAAGGTTAACTGAATGAATGAATTGTCATAGATCATATAAAGAAAACTAGCAAAAGTGACTTTTTGTATCTATGCAGGTAGAAGTATCTGAAATTCCTTCCATTTTTTTTTTTCCATTAAGTGTCATCACATGTAAATAAATCCAGAAGTATATGATCATTTTGTATTCAGATCATTTATATTTTTCTGTGGCGTGTTGCTGGAAGCACCAGCTTATTCATCATATACATGTGTCACAGCGCTGTGAAAAGCCCATTCATTCCACATACAGCACAGTTTGAAGGTCAGGGTCCAGTGCGCCCTGAAGAGGGGGTCGAGACTCAGACCTACTCGTTCCCACGCTCCCTAAGGGTCCAGTGCTTGAGCCTCTTTCCCCTCTGTACCAGCATTCGTTCCTCCCAAAATCGCATATTTCTGCAGCCAGTCAGATTGACCCGACTGTGCAGCAAACAAATTAGTCATCCCTACATTCCCAACCTTGGGCTGAGAGATTGTGGGATTCTGATAACGGGCTGGTTTGTTTCTAACCATTGATCCTCTGTATGCCCTTGTTTATACCTGGCAATTTGCAGTAAGGCACCAGTGCTAACATGCACAAGACTCCCAGCACCAGTAGGTGACCAGTGTCATGTGCAGCGCAAGGGGCATCTGAGCACACGTTTGCTGTTGACAGGAGAAGGGGCCAGAGGTGGGCAACCGCAGGGTCCATGCCACAGACGAGGAGAAGCTGGCCTCCTCTGTGTCCAGCCAGAACCCGGGAAAAACCGAGAATGGCTGCTGTGAGGAAGAGGAGCCCTGCAAGAAGCGGCTGGCTGGGAAAGGTTTGGCTGCACTGTCTGCTCTTCACCTTATGACCCATTCAGGAGCTCAGAAGGGAGGCTTATTGCTCCCGTGGTCTGTGGACCTCCTTCAGCTTGCCTCGTCTTCGGTCCCTCCTGGTCGGTTCCCGATTGGTGCAGAACTTTACTTATTTTTTTTTCCCCCAAAGTGCATGTTTCTCCTATTTCCTATAATTTTAAAATAATGATCATTTGGCTTGAGGGCACAAATAGTGTTTGAGGACGTCTTGACATTCCGCTTGGTGACGAGGACCAGCACAGAAACCACAGTAGTCTGGGTAGCAGAGTGTTTTCTGTAAGTCCAAGACAAATACGCTCAGCCCTGAAAGATTGGGCTGGCACACGTACCCCTTTGGGGAATTAATTACCCATTAACCTCACGAGGAAATTAAGTGGCTTCCCTGATTAAGTGCCACAGATATTTTCAGTGTAAAAGGAGGACCATCTGTCTGGCCAGGGATTGTGGAGAAACGCATGATTTTTGTTTGCTGCTGACTGAACCTCGTCCTCTCGCTGTAGCTCTTTTCAAGGCTCACTTCGGCCCCATTAGATATTACCGCCTGGAAATCCAAATTCAGCGATGCATGCTAGGAAATATAGTGTATCGTAACATCCATAGTTCTAAAATAGACGCTCCCCGAGTTACGATGGTCCGTGTTACGATATTTTGACTTTATAACAGGAAAATGTTTTTCGCTTTCAGTACATTATTCAATGAATTACATGTTTATTGTAAAATAAGCTTTGTGTTAATGATTTTGCCAAACTGCAGGCTAGTGTAAGTGTTCTAAGCATGTGTAAGGTAGGATAGGCTATGCTCTTATCTTTGCTAGGTTAGGTGTATTGTAGTAACATGCATTTTCGCCTTACATTATTTTTGTCTTGTGATAGGTTTATTAGAAAGTAACCCCATCATAACCTGGGGAGAGTTTCTCTAATGTGTATAACTGATTTGAGGAACATAGCTGTCTCGTGATAGGATTCCTTCAGGGTTGATGCCTGTGTTTCACTCGTGATATTCAGCTGCAGTCAGCAGACATGTATACTTGTGATTGTTACTGGATTTTAAGAATGAGGTGTAATTTTGATAGTTTTCTGCTGAGCTTTTTGGGAATGAATGCTCATCAATATTAGAGATGTCAAGTATTAAGGGACTCCATTGAAATTAATTAGATGTTACCCCGAATTCCGTGATTGCAAATGGAGCAATATTTTTAGAAGTGGCCGTTCAGCCAACAATAAATCTGTTTAGTAATTCAGACGATGGTTGTATTCAGACTCTGAAGAATGACGTCACATTACCCCCCACTCTCTGTTACTGCTGTACCACAAATTCATTAAGAGTAAGGTGTGGCTGGAATGATAGCTGAAGTTGTTCAAATTAAATGCATCTATGCTAATTCTTCCCCTGATAGATCATTTAAAACTTGCACAGGCCATCAGTCTAAGGTTTACATTACATGCTGATTCTCTTTACTGATAAGTCAATGCTATGTTGTTTTCTGTAGGGATGGAAGTAACAACAGGAGGTCCAGATGGTGCAGACATGTACAATGGGGTAAGTAGAGCTCTTGTCTTTAACCCTTTGAAACAAATACATGTGGTTTCTCCATAAAACAAATCAGGTCATTATTATTTTGTGGTATTGAATTATATAGAGTATGGAAGAGAGTAGGGATGTAGAGTAGAGATGGAAGTATATAGAACATACCCTGTCATTACCACAGTTAGCTATAAGTAATTGGTTTTGTTAGTTCTCTACCACTAGATGGTGCTAAACCTCCATTAAAGCTTTACAAATGACTTCTGCCTGCATGTTTTTGAAGTTGCATTATGCTGTGAGCAAGGCTGAGATTAACTACAGGATAAAGTACAAATCATGTGAGAATTTGGATATTGGATATTTAAACAGTGGCACAGTTATGAGTGGTTGTCAATATAGTCTATAGAAAAATTTCCAAGATGTGTGTGTATTTAAGTCAAATATCAGTGATGGGTAAATTTTAAATATCGAATGATTGCCAAACATTTGATGAAGCACAATGAAATGACCAGGATACCAGGGTGTGGGTAACAAACTGTTAATGGGCTATATAAACTTAAGTGTTCTGTTCTGCTTTCATGAAGAATTTAATTACTGACTAGAATGCAACGTGTCTGTTATCTGGAAACCATGTCTGGGAAATGGGAATGGTGATCATATGGTCAGCAGCATAGTGATTGTGAATTAAAGCTTTGAAATAAACTGAACAGCATTTTTCACACTTTTTTTTTTTTCTTCTGACTGAATTTCTGTGGTGATTGGGGCCTCATTATTGCTACAATTATAAAGTAAACTAATGGTCTTCCAATTCCTTCAAGGACTCCCAGGGACAGAAGTTACCATGGAAACATACTGAATGAAAGCTTGAAATAGCCTTTCCGCTCTCGTCTTTGTGTAAAGCCCAACTCTTTGGCTTGATTTTGTCTTGCTTAGAATCACTTGCTTGACGAAACACTTGAATACAAAGTATTTAAAAATGCTGTGGTAAAACGACTTCACGATGATGATACCACATGCTGTGTAATTCTCCCTGATGGCCATAAAAAACTAACCGTGCTTTTCGCTTCAGAGATCCTGACACTTTTTAATAAGCCCAAAGCAAGGAAATTGTTTGTTCACAGCTGTATGTCTGTAGTAGTTTACAACAATATTGAGGTTTTGACAACAGAGATTACCACATGACCAGAATCCTGATGCACTGAATTACCCCTAAAAAGCCGGCATCGATATATAGATGCCATTACCTTTCTTCATGTTAGGACTTCTAATAGTGCATGGTTTGTTTGACAACGATCACATAACATGTGACTGAAATGGTCTCTGAATTTCACTGCCTGAACTGTTTAAAAACTCTTTTTAAACATATTCTGTGTGCATGTGGATTAGGTTTATATTACATTGTGGGGACCAAATGTCCCCCACAATATGATAAAGACCTGTTATTTTGATGTGGGACCGTTTTTCAGGTCCTCACAAAGATCTGTGAATGCAATCAAAAATGAAAAATGCCAAAAGCCTCGTATTTTGTTTGATTACTTATGGTTAAGGTTAGGGCTGGGTAGGGGTTAAGGTCGTCATTGCTGAGATTAGTGTTTTTCCCATAGAAATGAATGGAGAGTCCCCACAAAGATATAATTACAAACCTGTGTGTGTGCGTGCTTTGTGATTGGTATATTTCTTGCCTAACTCTTGTTGCTTCTGGGATGGGCTCCTGACACCTCCAACACTGTGCAGGATGGATGGATGGATGGATGGATGAATGGATGGATGGATGGATGAATGGATGGATGGATGGATATGTTTCTAGACATAGACTGCAGCACCCTTAATGTATTCTTAACAGTAGCACAACATACAAATATTTCACTGCTCTATGTAAAATCCCAGGCACCCCTAGTGTTGAAACAAAAGCCGAGTTGTGGAGCCTGTTTCCTATGTAAACAATGATTTATTTTGATTCCCCCTCCCTGACAGTGTCTTGTTCCCCTGTTGAACAGCTTGATGACTCCTGCAAAACCAAAAGTGCCAAGCTGGCTGGAAGTGAGAGTCAAGACAAAGGAACTCCAGTTCTGGATAAAATCTGTCTCAGTGAGGCTGACAAAGAAGCTGTCCTCACTCTGATTAGGGAGGAGGTAACCGCTCACTGTCTCTCTGTACGGCCCTTTGAATGATGCCTCTGTACCTGAAAGGGGAACCATCCGCAGTGCGTGAAATCAGCTGGGTCTCAGGAACGATGTCACATGGTTAACAGGTGTATGGGGGAGGAAGATAATACGGTTTGTGTCCTTTGTCCAGCCCCCCCCCCCCATTTCACACTGTCCTGTCTTTCTGTATTATCTTTTTTGCCACAGATTATTACGAAAGAAATAGAGGCCAATGAATGGAAGAGAAAACATGAAGAGAGCAGACAAGAGGTCCTAGAAATGAGGTCTGCTCCTCCACGCGTGTGATTGCTGACAGCAGTCTGTGAAGGGTAGATGCACAGATGGTAGATGGATTGACTGGTGAGAGCTCAATTTGTGCCGGTTCCTTTTGTAGAAAAATCGTTGCAGAATATGAGAAGACGGTTGCGCAGATGATCGGTAAGTTATTGATTTTGCTCATTTTATCATTTGTACCTCTGTCATCTGTCTTCCCCATCTTTGCTGTAGTCCTGTGTTGTCTGTTAGCACATACAATTGCACATTTTTTAGGAATTGGTTTACCTTGTGTGTGCTGTCTTGTTTGGCACTGTGTGGGTTTACCCTGCACTTCATGCTGCTGCATTCACCAGCTGGGATCAATAAAATGTATCTTGTCTTATCTCCCGCTCAGTGAAATCTGATAAGGATCTTGGTAAAACTTTTGTGACTGTGTGGCTTCCTCACAGAGGACAAGCAGCAAGCCGCAGTGAGCTCCCAGAGCACCATCCAGCAGCTGACTCTGGAGAAGGAGCAGGCCCTGGCTGACCTCAACTCTGTAGAGCGCTCCCTCTCTGACCTCTTCCGGAGGTACGAGAATATGAAGTCTGTCCTTGAGGGCTTCAAAAAGGTATGTGCGTCTTGGCAAGAGGCTAAAAGCCATTTTATGCCATCAGTGACGATTTTATTTGTGCTGTCAACTCGAGCCCCTGTGATTTGAGGACTTCCTTTTGATTCTATGCCCAGAATGAAGAGGTGCTTAAGAAATGTGCACAGGAGTATCTTACCCGGGTCAAACAGGAAGAGCAACGCTATCAGACCCTCAAAATCCATGCTGAGGAAAAGCTAGACAAGTAAGACTGGAGCTACGCATATGGCACCTCTACTGGTCGGGAGGTCTAAATTATCAAAGGAGAATCGGGAAGCATGTGTGTTAAATCAATGCAACATTTATACTCGGTGACAAAAAAAGTAATGGTCCGATTTGGATGTAATTTGGTACACGTGCAGACCAGCGATGAGTCTGTAAATGGTTCGATTTGCAAGGAGCTGGCACATCTAGTCACCAGACACAGAGGATGCCTCGTAGACGCGTTAGACAGCATTACCAGCACTTAACGGAGTTTGATAGGGGTGGCATTGTGGGTTTGCATTGCCCGGCATGTGGGGCATGCAGATGTTACAGTCACCTGATGTTGGAACCAATGAGCATGTGAGGGCACCCACACACGTCGTGAAGGTTCCGGTCATCCAAGACAGGCCACACCAAGGGGAGGTTTGTCGTATTGTGCACCAAGCATTACAGAACAACAAGACAATACCTGTTCACACACAGTGTGTCTATGGACTGCCTGCTTCATGTTGAGGTCCTCCCGTGGCCAGCCAGGTCCCCCGATTTTTCCCCAATCGAACATGTGTGGGATCAGCTTGGACATGAAATCAGACCCAGTGCCAATTGGCAGGATCTCGAGGTCCAGTTACAACAGCTGTGGGCTGACTTGCCGCAGGAGAGGATACAATGACTGTACGACTCCCTTCCGCACTGTATCACCGCATGTATTCAGGCCCGGGGGGGGGGGAGGCCACACCCTACTGACATGGGATCAGCAGTAATGCTTGTTGTCCATTTGATCTGATGACATAATCTTTGCGATACAGTCACATGACCTTTCGCTACGTGCAGATTCATTCAATTTCCACCACTCCGTCTGGGTGCTTAACTTTTTTTGTCACTGAGTGTATATGCATGTATATGAACCCTTGTGTCCAGCCCCCCCCCATTTCACACTGTCCTGTGTTCTGTACTGTGTAGTATTGTGCAAACCCTCCCCCTGGAACTGCTGTTGTATGTCACCTTACTTCCTTCCACTGTCTACCTGTATATGCATAGTATGGCATTGGCCTCTCGACTCGACTTGACAAGGTGGACATCTTTCTATCAGGGCCAATGAGGAGATCGCCCAGGTGCGTTCGAAGGCCAGCTCGGAGAGCATGGCTCTTCACGCCAGCCTACGCAAGGAGCAGATGAAGGTGGAGTCCTTGGAGAGAGCACTCCATCAGAAGGTACAGTACCATCTCATGTTCCCTTCCCGCTGGATGGAGCGGAAGGTACATGGGCCGGTCTTGGGTGCTTTAAGAAGATTATTTAGTCATTTTAAATGTTTAATTTGGAGTTGTATTGCACTTTTAAAAGTTTTTCCCTTCAACATTTAACTAGTAAAATATTGTTGGCCTTTTTAGAATCAGGAAATTGAGGAACTCACCAAGATCTGCGACGAGCTCATTGCCAAGATGGGGAGACCGGAGTGAAGGGGCGTCCCTGACAGCACGTTGTCCCTCCAGCCTGCCTGTGGCTCCAGGGTCCAGCTTATCTCAGCTTAACACGCTCATGTTGCCAGATAACTGTGTCAAGGCCTCGCTTTCCCACAAATAAGGAGATGGTCATTTTATATGCCTAATAACAATTGTTCTCCTTGTTTGTAAAATAAGCGGAGCAGTAATAAGGTCCAGTAGCCTATGTCAATTTGAACAGAAATGCAAGATCTGCAGAAATAATTTAACGAAGAGCAGATGGACAGACCCTCTAATTAAAGCTATTGTGCAGATGTGGCATGTATTTTGTAGTTTTCGAATTAGTTGTCTGTTTTTGTTCTGCACGTCATTCAGCCTTTGAAATCCCTGCTTTTTTTGGATGGCTTAATGGCCTAATTACTGGTCTGGAATTCCGGGAGGGACATGGGAGATGGTTGCTTTTTGGATGTGATGGACAGTGAGCAGAGGAGATCCTGGCTTTGTATCTATTACTGTGTAGTGGGCAAAAGCTCTAACTGAATCACTGCTAATTCAAGCTATATGTGTGTATATAACAGGACGGAAATCTATATTGCTTGCCTTTTGCGAAGCTTATTTTTTGAGGCACTGAAATGTAAATAAATTTATATTTAAAATGGCAAATGTTTGCTCTGCACCTGGATGAGCCATATACCTGCATCTGGCGGTTTCACAAAGCAGCCTGACAAACTGAAGCTGCGTGTGTAAATACTTCTGCTCAGTCTTGGTTACAGTCCGGTATCTTAACCGCTTAATATTCAGTCAGGGCAGCACTTCCTGTGCACCATGTGTTTGGTATTTATTATTATTTCTAGCTGTGTGTACCTGCCCAGTTAATCTCAAAGCTGTGGCACTGGATGCTGTTCAGTGGTGCAGAGTAACTGTCTTTAATCAATTTAATGACTTTGCTCCCCAAATTCCCTGTCATAACTAAACATTTCTTTGTTTTTTCCTCCCTTGTATCTTGACACTAAAAATCCATGTATGTTTACATGCTAAATACCGTAATCTGGGAGAGGTTTTCTACAGCCATATTCCGTTTTTTGTTTCCATCTTGAATCCTTTCAAAAGCACATGCATGTTAAATTTTACTTTAATAGATCCATTTGAGTTTGCTTGTGAGAGTGAGAGAGAGAGCGAGCATTGTGGTCTATGTCTTGTGTCCCCAAGTAGGTCATAAGCACCATACAAAGGTAATAGTTCACATTGCTTGCTCACATCCACCCCCCTTCCTGCATCATCACAGCCATCATTGTCATTTATTTGTTGCTGCCTGTCTGTCTTTTTTTGTGTTTTTTTTTTTTTTCCATAACGAGTTTGTTGAATGTTCCTCCATTGTTTTGTGTGCAGTTAATCTAGACCATTTAACAATAATACTTGTAAGCTGGGAGAAAAGAACTTGCACAGATGTAATAAATATTTTCCATAATGACCTGAATTAGTATCTGTGTCTATCTACCTTTGAACACTGATACAGGAAATCCAGAAGGAAAATTTGGTAAGTCAGTTGGCCGTTTTGTTGCTGCCACCGTAGAATCCTCATGGTCTGTCCTCGCTCTTTTTGCCTCAGTAAGGTTACCAAATATTTTAACAGATTGATTCTCCACTTTTTGTTTATGAGAGGCCAGAACTTTCCACCTAGGCACTGTTGAAAGTGGCACATGACGATCTGCAGGGACTGAGACCCTTTCTTCCTGGTGAAGGACAAGAGTGACTCTCTGCTAGATATTTCTACATTCTCTAGGGAAATGTTGGCAAACACACTTTCCCTTTGGTGCCGCAAGGTGCCGATGGGGTAACTTGCATCCTGGTTGGCACAGTAGCTCGCAGACCACATCTACAGTGTTGTGACCTTTTGGCATCAGATGACTTGAAAAAGACTTGAATCGTATTCAGAAAAGCGGGTTTTTGATCATTTTCTACAAACAATATGTTGTGATTTCAGATGACGCACTACTTTTGAAACTGATCAGTCGATCTTTCTCACATGTCCTTATAGTTTGATGTCAACATCTGAATTAACTTGTTAGGGCAAAATCATTTAATACATTATGCAGGAAAGGCCATCTTATAAATATTAGTGCTTAGCAGGAAATCCAGGTCGGGCACCCTCCAGAAAGATCTCCATTTTGGAGATGCGTGACCCTTTGGGCATATCTGCTGATTTAAATTCAAGTTGTGAATCCAGTGTGCAGCCTAAAAGGGGCATTAGTCGCAGACGACCTAATGACCCTTAACGAGCTCCAGTTCTGCACCCAGGACACCTGCTTCCTGCTGTGGTTCTTGAGGTTCTTGCCACCCTTAGCTTGCTCTAAGCGTGTCTCTGATTAAAGATGGAAAGATTCTCATCTTAATGGAACGCCATAAGTTTTTGTGGCAGACTGTTCATATTTTGTTCAGGGTTCCCTCCCCATGCCAGCCTGGTAATTACTGGAAGCGGGCTCTTGATGCCAGCCCTGTTCTAAAAGGTCTCTTGGGGCTGTTCAGTCAAGTACTACATTTTTTGACTATATGACTGCACATTGAAGGCCTTTGCGGGGTTTTAGGGTGACTTTTGGCTGCTGGTGGCATAGTGCCTGGTACTTAGACAAAAAAGCCTTATGAAATGTGGACCCAGATGTTTTAATTGTCAGCTTTTAATAAAAGGAGTCTGTGATTTGGAAGAGAGGCACAAATATGTAACTCATGTGATCGGTTGTCGTGTTTCTTGGAAATTACTAAAAATGAATAAAGTCCTGATTTTATATTCAGCAGATATTTCCTCCTGTTTGACGCAAGGTGCTTATAATTATTGACATATAATTATTCGTTTAATGATTTACTAGGTGAATCATAATTAAGTTTATGTTTAAAGAACTAATTTACTTTACTCTGGGTCTTTAGGAAAATGCACGCAAGGGAAGGAGACATGGTGTTCAAGACTGAAGGCTTGAATTGCACCACCTGCTCTGTAGGTGTGGAATTTGTGCAGGTTCTCCCCATTACACATCTCTTTTCAAAGCTGTGCAAAAACACACAGATTCACTGGCATCTGTAGTATGTGCCCTGTGTTGGTCTGGCATCCCACCTTATGTGCTGTGCTGTACTGCCTGGGATAAGCACCAGCTTCCCCCTTCCCACGACACTGTACTGAATAAGCAATCGGATGACCAATAGTGGGCAGCAGTGACCGTTTTATGGTTCTATTCGGCAAGGTACTGACAGTGCAAGAAGACAGTGCCACCCATAACATCCATCCATGTAAACCTGGTGATCTGAGCTAATGTACCGTGGATAAAGCTGCATGCAGCTGCTGCTGCGTTCATGTGCAGTTCTCCGGATCCCTCACAAGGTGCCAGCGTAATGCTCCGTGTCGCAGCAGCAAGACTTTTCATAAACTTAAAAAAAATCATCGGCGACATTATTAGAATAAATGCACCCCCCCCCCCTATAGTTTTAATATAGTCAGGAAGCTAAGACTGCAGTTCAAGGAAGGCAACCTGACCATCTTATATTTCAAAATCTAATGTGGACCCAAAGTAGATTGATTTCTGCTGTTTCAAGTATGTTGATATATTGAGTTATTCTGTTCTTTTATAATTCATATATTGTATTAATCTGTTAATAGCTTTATGGATGGACAAAAATAAACGCACAGATTTGTCCCTTTTGCTTTTTTTCCTCTGCGGCAGCATCTGAAGCTTCATTCATATTCTTCCCCGACCCACATTTATTGGCCCCCCCATGCATCGTTGCCTCATATATGCGGTGGGGGTGTGGATCGGGCTGCGGCACTGTGTTTCGGCCTGTGTTTTCTCTCTGGGACAGTGCCAGCAAAAACTCCCCCAACCCTCCCGCCCCCGTCATCACCAGCGTACCCCGTTCCCCAAAACATGTGGTCCACCGGGCCTGGATCAGTGAGAGTTCTGGTGCTTTTAATATCCCCGGCCGGACGCTGCCTTCGACTTGCTGGGAAGCGGTGATTCAGCAGGCCCTTGTGGCTGCCGGCGTCGCCAGACCCCGCTAACGCCGTCCACATGTGCAGCGGGAGAATGTGCTGAAGCAGCAAGAGCGGCGTCTTTCCAAAGGGTGGGGGCCACAATGCGCAGCGCCTCCCCCCATGTTTGGAGAGCAGAAGTGCTCCTCCTCTTTGGACAGTGACTAGCTATGGCCTGAAGATGGTTGCCCCCAAACCAGTAACTCTTTAGCGTGACTCGATTGGTAAAAGTGAATAAACAGATGGTACTTCCTTCATTCTATCAATTTGTGATTGGCTTGAGTTGAAACGATACACTTCATTCACCACAGACTCTCTCTGCTAGCCTGATAAATATTCATTCAAGCAAGATCAAAACACAGGGCTACATAAAACTCCCATCTTATTAGAGATCACAGAGGTTTAGGACCAGACTATCCACTGCTGACATACCCCTGTACCTCTTAGCTCAACATGGAGACTAACAATTCCAGTGAATCATCCTCATGTCCAGCCTGGCCTCAATTCTCCTCCATTTCACATTTGTGTCTTTATACAGGAATGGTTGTCAAGTTCTGCACCTTTGGTACCTTCTGTGATGAGGCACGCCATGGAAAATGTGAGTTCACCGATAACTGCAGCAGCCCCCACCAAGCTGAAAGCCACAGAGAGCTCGTGGTTCAGCCTTGCCCCACCCTGGCTTTAAGAGCCCCACTGGTCAAGCTCTTCATCGAGAAGCTATGAGCAAGTCAGCCCCTACTTATTTGTGGGTAAGGTTGGTTTGGACTCTTTCATAAATAACTTGAGGTGAAATAAACAAATACGAATATTGGTCACTATAACAACGGCTTCAGATACTGAGAAAATGGCTGTGCCTGATTGGATAAAATATATGAAAACTCTTGGTAGATCTCTCTGATGTTATTTTTCCATTAAACAAAAATAGCATGCTTTTGTTGACACCTGTTGTCCTGTAATGCTTCCGTGTGCTTCTTCAACTGATAAACAGAAGGAAAGCCAACATGTACATATTTGCATAGAGCTCTGTATAGCATGTCATAGTGCAACCGATTTGCACACTTCTGGTTTGCAGAATTCAATCTGATTCATGTGCAGACTGATTGAAAGCCTGCTGTGTGACAGACCGGTGCTCAGTGCTCCTTGCAGGGCTACCCCCTAGCAGCAAATAAAGCATGATCCACAATAAAACCCTGTTGAAAGATACTGGTAGCATAGAGGGTACCCCCCCCTGGATTTGTGCTACCTGGACCCATCCCTAGAGGCATGCCTGGGGGTGCCATTCTTCAGTGGCTGGGTGACAAACTTGTGCATCCATCATTCAGGCTGACCACTATGAGTTAAAGAGTGGACACTGCAACAATGTTATATGGACTGGCTATTGAAACAGTCTTCGTTTAGAGGTTCCAGTGACCCATTGGACCAACTTTAATGGTCTGTGTTGTAATGGCAACACCTGATCTAAAGCTCCATATTCTGGACATTTAGGTGAAGAAATGGCTGTCAAATGATCACCACCGGTGAGTTGGATTTGGCCCACAGGGAAGAGACATGATGGACTGGGCAGGTCTAGGGAGTTCAGTTAGGATTTGTCAAGAATGCATGGCATCCATTTGACCTCATCTGAATATAAACCTCAGCATGCACTTGGATTGCTGTTGCGTATGAAGAGGCTGGGACGAAGAACAGCGCCCCCCTAAGGCACTCACATGGTACTGTCAGAAAAGAGTGGATTACTCCCTTCACATTAGCAGTGAGAAGCTATTGAAGGATTTATGTACAAGGTTCCTGCTAGTATATTATAAATAAGATTTGAGGCTTCAAAGTTTTAGACAGGGTTAGATTAGTAGGTACTGAGGTATGCTGGTGGGTATGTGGGTGGGCAAAATGAAATGTGCTCGGAAAAATGTATGATGGGGGACCCCCGTCACTATTTTTTTCTATATTATTTTCCATCTCAGTTGTTCACGTTGTCCAATCCTGTCAAGTCCTATCCTATGAAGAGAAGGGCTTAAGACAGCAGCCGATAAAGAAGGTCCGCTCGTTTGGGGGGGCAGTATGTGATCTGAGATTGAGTGATAATTTGTCGATTTGTAAGTGGAAGTTCTGCAGGAGGAAAGGCTTCAGGCGGTTGGGGGATTCCGGCCTGCTAGCTGCCTAAATGCTGTAGGGCATCAACAGTGATGAATAAGTTGACCCACTTGCTAAGTTTCACTTGTGTGTGGAAATTAGTTGAAAAGAAAATATGGATGCCCTGGCATCCTGTCCAGGGTGTTCTCCTGCTTAGTACACTGTGCGTCATGGATTAGCCCCCAGGCTAACTGGGCATCTGTAACTGGTAAGCAGATATGGAAGAAGGATAGATAAAATATGGACAGGATACAAGGGTGCATTGGAAGACCACATGCTCCGCCTTTGAGGCAAACTAGTAAGAGTCTTTTTGCCTTTCTTTAAAGAATAATAGA